TATTGAATATACTATTCAAAATCAGGATGCATATTTAGAAAGAACAAATAAGGCAAGTGCTAGATGTTCCTGTCTTAGAACTCAACAGCCATGTATATTTTTAAAGAACAATGCAAATATGATAGTTATACTTCACCTTGTCTGGTTCCATCTAATTTTTATATTTGCTTTAGTATCAGATTAATGCATTTGCCAATCATTCATGACATTTTTCATATCAACCCAAAATCCAAATGTGGAAACCTATATTTAGTTATTGTAGCTGGTCTGCCCCAGTCCATTGTTTTACTTTGAAGAAGGGCCATCATTAGTACAATGGGCCTCTTTTTGGATGCTCTAAATAAACACACAATTAGCATTATTTCATTCTACTTTAGCCTTTAATAAGCCACCCTCTTTTCTATAATATATAGAGAAGAGGTTCGAAACAAATGCTGCATTTTCAAGACTCTGAGGCACCGGGTTGGAAATCATTAAATCTTCTATTGTAAGGAAAGCAGGAACAAAGAAAGTCAAAGCTATTATATGACAGTTTCCAAAGTTCTATGACAATATCTACAGTTTTAAATTTTTACCTCAAAACAAAGTATTAGAAACTTGACATCTTTGGAAAGCTGGCTTATCAGGTAAAACACAAAAAATGCAGATGATCCTGTGACAATTCTTGTTAAATGGGATTACATTAATATAGTGCCCTCAAATATGTATGCTGCCAACTTGAACAAACAATGAGCTTACTGTCTTATATTGGTCCAGATGTATGGATAAGTACCATAAATAATAACATTTTCTAGGGTTCAGGGCATGAAGTAATGTTTCATTTGTTTCAGATGCCGGTAGACAGGGATCTCACTTTTAATATAACGGGACGCGGAGAGTGTACTGTAACAGTAAGTTTCCATTCTGAGTTGATGCTGCAATTCCTTTTTTATATGATTTCCACAGCTCTTATGACATCATGAATCAAAACAATCCACAGCCCCATATTTAAAATGGATTATATACAAAGCTTTCTAGAGTTTATTAGAGGGAATATCGTATTAAGCTATTTGGTATGGTACATACTTTTCATATACTTGTACACATTATTGTGCATTTACTCTCATACTGATGTATACTATATATAGCGTATAAATACTGTATGTTACCCCAGTCTGAGTTTGTAATACAGATATGTTTTAATTCCCTAGCATCGTTAGTGCATATCTTCCAATGTCAGAATTCTGCTTCTGTGCTACCCCTCTTTAGCCCTTTATTTTTGTACAGCATTGGCATTAGACATGTGCGATTCTTTTCGTTCCGAATCAAAATTCAGGCGAATTTTCGGAAATTCGGACATTCGGATGTATCTGAATTCCGAATTACAGACATAACGAATGCAAATGAATCCGAATTTCCATTTCCGAAATTCGGTAGCGTTCGTACGAACGTTCGTTTTGTTTTCTGTTCTTATTCGTTTCTTATTCGTTTCGTTCGTTGGAGCAAAGTGACATTAGAGAAGGAGAAAAATATTTTTTCCCCCTCAAATGTCACTTTTGCTGCAAACGAACGAAACGAATAAGAAACGAATAAGAACAGAAAACGAAACGAACGTTCGTACTAACGCTACCGAATTTCGTCCGAATCCGAATTCCGAATCCGAATTGACTTTTACACCCGAATCCTGAAAAACGAAATAACACAAATCCGAATTTAAACCGAAACGAAACAAATTTTTTGGCAGTGCACATGTCTAATTGGCATATAACTCATACAAGCCATAATTGTGCATATGAACAAAGTCCAACAAAAAAAAAATCATATTTTTGGTATTCGTGTCACTGCAAACCCAATATTACCCATTATAATAGAGCTCCCAACCCCAGTGAAGCCACAGTAATTCAGTCTTCTAGTTAATGCAAAATCTACCAGATACACAGACTAAAGCCAAGACCTAATAGTTTAACTACACAACTGGACAAATAATTGTGGTGTAATTTTTGTGCAATCTATGTTAAAATACATGGGTATTATAGTGGCATAACCCATATTAACATCTTTTGAAACCCAAGTAGTGATCAGACTGAAATGTTTGCAGTGTGTGACTTTAGTATTGGCATTCATTTTTTGTGTATCTTTGTTTTAGGTCATGACTGTTTATCATTCTTTACTTACTTCCGAAAAGAAATGTAATGGATTTATTCTCCAAGCAGAGGTGAAAGAAGATGGTAAGACTGGAATATACTGTATATGGCAAATCTTTAATTAATAAACATTTCTTAATTGTGGCCGTCAGCGACTAGTCAATGTTAGGGCAGAACGGAGAGTGGCAAGACTGGTACAAGACAACAGTGCAGTGTCAGATTCCTTGCATCACCTTTCAACATCTCGTGGAGTCACAAGGCGGCCCAACGAAGTCATCTCGTGGAGTTATCTCGTGGCCCAACGAAGTACTGATGGGGTGGTCATAATAATCTGGCCACTCAGTGTATATATATAGATATATCTATATATATATATATAGTATATTGGTGCATGCAATGATTCCTTATTTAAGAGACAATGCAATGTTATACTAAATTAGCACAGTCAGGTACTACTGCAAGGGGCTCTGTTTAAAAATAGCATACCATTGTTTAAATTAGAAAGTGTGGTCCATTCCTTTTGAGGGGGTTGTCCTGGTGTGGCACTTCTTTGATGATAAATGTTATGGATAGCTAGACTAATTGATATGTGTGTATAATGTGTATTGAATATACAACATACTGTATTTCTATAATATGCACTCTTGGGTGTTTTATGTCAAACACATGCCCACTCTCTGCTATGAGTTGTTTAACACATCTTTGATCATTTCTATGTGAGACAGAGATGGGCATGTAACTTTCTTCATATTAGTTATGTTTAAGTTAAGCCTTTATTTACATTGTGACTTGATGTAATTGCTCAAATAAAAGTGCAAGATTGCCAATTGTTGTAATATAAAGTATATTTTATCGTCCCATGATCTCAAACACAACAGAAATCAGACTTGCTGTGAAAGATTGTGCTCTATGAGACATGGTGTCCACACATAGTTTTGCTTCAGAATTTTGTCTTTATTGACTTTTGTAGCATAGAATGGCGGGGGTCCCTTCATCAGGCAAAGTGTTACACTTTGATATAACCATAGTTTGTGCACTATGCACATTCCATTGGACTGCATAGTGCTATCAGTCTAACATATTTTTAGGCACTGAATGCTGAATGTGGAAGTGTTTTAGGTAGGCTTTCAGATGGTGGAAACACACGGAGAACCTCACCATGTCCATTTATAGTCCATTGAGCAGACTGGAAATGGCCAGGCTTCACAGGAAGCTGCAGAGGTGCAATAATTAATTGCAAACGTCCCAACTGTCCCTCTTTTGGTATCAAATGCCTCTGTCCCTCTTTCCTCCTCAGTTGTCCCTCTTTTTGAACAGATGTGTAGACCTCTATAGTAGATGCAATACGTAACATGCAAAGTGTGAGACTACACTAACCCTTTCACACAAACCTTTTATCATCAAATTATTATTTTAAAAATCCAGTATACAGGAAAGATAGTACTGAATAAAGCACATGTGGGTTTAGCCAATCATTTTTTGCTTATTAATTTTTCATGATCCACGTAACTGGGAGCGTGGCAGGGGATATGTCCTTTGCCTACACACTTTGTTCTAAAGGGTGTCCCTTTTCCCATCTCGGAAAGTTGGTGGCATGGAATTGTGGTGTTACCCACCTAGCTTTACTCTCTTGCAGGGTTGTGTAAATCAGAGGGGAGAAACAGATAATTGCTGCTATATACAATGTATGGTAACAGTGTACACATGTATACATGTACGTTAGCTTAGTTAGAGACTTCATATTTTTATTGAATGAGCTGATCTCTTTCATTACTACATGTTAGTAACCCATGTTTGCCAATAATGTTTTTTTTTATTTTTTTGTTACAGACAGAAAAGCTGATACGTATACTCTCGTAATACGAACCAGGTAAGATATCTATCCATCTTTTTTTTTTTCATTTGACAAATAATTCAAACGTTGCTAAAACAGTGGGGTATTTTATGCACTGTGTACAGAATGCCTCCAGAAATGTTCTTATGTACTCATGTCATTGGCTTCCTGCTTTTTGCTCTAAATTGGCCTTCTATAGCTTATGAGCAGAGTGCTGTTGAGTTCATCACTCAAGTACAGTGCCAAGAAGGTCCATATTTTAATTAAATTATAATTCTAGAGTAAATGTATGAACACATATGACTGCTGTTACTCTTTCGATTATTTTTTTTCTGTTGCTCGTAATAATTCGAAATGTCGGTGTACTTAGTGCGACCATGTATCAAAGGGGCAGAAAATGCCCTGGCTGCAGCTGATTGGGCTGGAGGGAGGTGTGCCACTGAGAGTTTTGCACGGGTTTAGAAAAATTTAGGCGAACTTGGTTTGCACCAAGCCCATCCTTATTAATAACTTGACTTTAAAGTCGTATTAAACTGTCAAACGTTTTTCAATAATGAATCCAGATCAAACAAATATACATTGCCCAGCAAAGCATTGCTTTACATTTTTGACCAAGCGCTTACAGTCATCATGTTTCTGTACAGCTGCTTACAAGTCTCTCAGCTCAACTTCCCTGAACTGCCTGTCTAGTACAAGATCACAAGGGACAGAGCAGACTCTAGCAACTGTTCATCTACTAGCATGGAGAAGGGAGGAGATGGGGCCAGGGGATGGGAGTAGCTTGATTTGCTGTGCTTGTGGAGACACACACACAGCTTACTAGCACACGCAAGGGTGACTGCATAGCACTCTGGTTGAGAAAGTAGTCACTCTAAAACAGGAAGTCAGGACCAGTGTTTAGGGGACCAGCTAATTCTGCAGGAAACTAAAACTTTTTACACATCAAGGAGCAGCACCCATTGTAAGTGATTTCATCAGAATTTGAAATAGTTTAACATCCTTTTGACTTTAATATCTTTTTACCTGTACCTACACAGGTATAATGCCTCCCTGCCTGCAACCATGACACTTATTGAAATTACTATGCTGACAGGGTTCACACCTAATATTGAAGATCTAAAACAGGTAAAGTATATTAAATAAGTGTAGCATTGTTTTTTCACTTAGTAATCGATTTTTATTCCAATATCAAGCATTTCCTGAGAAATAATTCTTTATTTACACTGCACAATAGGTCTGGCCTTTTCATAGGTTTACTAATAGAAGGGGAGCTAGATCATACATGCATGGCGGCATTGTCGAGTGAAATGTAAAATATTTGAATAGGACATGTTACTGTCCTGTGTACTGTGTGGAATCTATTTATAGGTTTTAATGGAAGCTATAAACATGCCTGGCATCTTAAACAATTATGTACATGTGTCCTTATGAATGCAACTAGGTAAGATGACGAGGGGTACCCTTCTAGTCACCTGTTCCCAATTAACCACTTCTAAAACCCACATGAGTTATCTAGCTCTAATTATAGGGGCTAACTGGTCACCCTACTAGTGGGTGATCTTAAATGAAATGTATTTCCTAAAATATTCTTTATGAAAATGCAAGGCATCCTATAAAACCAGAACAGTTGAATTTGGCTCAGTTACATGACGTTCAGGATTGGTAGTGGTTGGTGTCAGTAAGGTTAGCCCAGTACTTCAGGGCTAACATTTAGGGGTCTATTCACAAAGCTAGCCGTAGGATCAGCCGAAGCTTCGGCTAGCTTCGGTTGCTGGAGCCCTTCGGTTCAGTGGAACCGAAGGGCTGCTGTACGGGTTAGTTAATATAGCCCGTACAGCTCCTGAAGGTGGCCGAGCGACTCAGCCGAGCTGAAGGCATATGCTTCGGCTCGACTGAGCCGAAGTGACAGCCGAAGCGGGGTGAATGGGGTGTACGCCTCCCAAGGAGCCAGCCGTGATCTCAGCCGTACCGAGCAGAATAGTCGAGCCGAATGCAGCTCGGTGACATTCGGCTTTTCACTCACTGTCGTTTGGCCCCTATGTGAATATACTCGCTGCCGAAGCTTCGGCTCAGCTAAACCAGGTGTTGGACTGGCTGTCGAAGTCCTTCTGCACTTCGGCTCAGACGAACATGCTCTGCTGAAGTGCAGCCGATGTACGGCTGATTTCAGCTGATGTACAGCTGAAATCAGCCGTACTGAACCGAATATCCGAACGTTGTTTGATTCACTTCACTACGGCTCGGTTAATCACTCGGCTGCCTCCGGCAGCTTAGTGAATAACCCTGTTAGAGTTAAATTAAAGTTGGGTTATTGGGGGTTAAAGCTGAATTCAGGTAATTAGCTAAATACACAGGTGAAATTAATATATGTGTGCAGGTTACCTGCCCTACCCATTCATTCTTTGCTGGTTTAGCAGTGCTAAAAGGTATTGTGATAAAATTGACGTGGAGTAAAGGTGCCCATACACTGCACGATTCTCGTACGAGAATCGTGCAGTGTATGGGCATCTTTGGGCTGACCATATAGTAGCCAAATTTCTAGAAGGAATACCTAAAAAGCATTCATATATACAAAAAAAAAGTTAAAAGTTAAATAATGAAAATTAGTCTAATTAAGAAGATACCTAAATCCAAGAACAAAAATGTACTATGTTGCAGCTTACTAATCCTTAGATGTGGTTGTATTCGTTTTTATTTTTCTAGTAGAACATTTTTAGCAAATGCATTTTATACCTGTGAGCTGAACTAAAAAGTAAAAAAGTACCTATCTTCTTAGAACTACTAATCCCCCCATAGCCTATGTCAGGGCTCAAAATTTCAGGTCCTGAGCTACTAGCCAGGCCTTCTAAGTTACTCGCCACCAGTTGCCCTTCATAACACAAACAAACACACACAGGGCACAACACGCACACAGCACAACACACATACAGCCACAGCACAACGCACAGGACATTACACATACAGCCACAGCACAACGCACAGAGTATTACACATACACATTTCATCTGAAATACATTTTTATTATTCGCACATGTATAATAATATGCGTGTGAGGGGGGCGGGGGACAGTTTTTACTTTTTTTAAATTATTTATTATTATTTTTTTATTATTTTTTTTATTTTTATTGTATTATTTACAGTTGGGGGGGGCTTCGGGGGAAATATTAGGGGTCCAAACAGACCGCTGACATTTCCCTTTTAAAATAGAAAAGAAATTGAGGACACCAAATCCTCAATTTCTATTTTTTCTACAGCCTCAGCACTCAATGAATGGGAGGCACTCAGTACAGAGGCTTCCCATTCATTCAGACACTGATAGTAAAATATTTACTATCAATAGTTTCTGAATGGGGAGGAGCCTCTGTACTGAGTGCTACTCCCCATTGAGGAAATCCAGAATGCATAGGCTGTAATGTAAATCACAACCTGTTCATTCATAACTGGGGACACATAGCACTATGTGTCCCCAGTTATTTACAAACACTGGAGTGATCAGACGATCGCTCCAGTGTTTGTCCTTCTCACACGGAGGATCGGTAAATATCAATGATATTTACCCATCCCCCGCTCTGCCTCACACAGAGCCGCTGTCATCCTGAAACTGACAGAATGACAGCGGCTCCGATCTCCTCCCAGCTCTGCCATCCTGACAGCTGCGAGCGCGGCTTCTCTCCCCCTCTGGGCGGCTTCTCTCCTCGCGGCTTCGCTCCCGCTCGGCCATCCTGACAGCAGGCAGCGCTCCCTCCTGCGACCCCGGACGGACGAGGGAGCGCTGTCATCATGTCGGTGAGGAGGAGAGAAGCCGCCCCGAGGAGTGCCTGACTCAATAGCTTAATTTCCACTCGCCCCCACGCAATTTTCACTCGCAATTTGCGAGGGGGCGAGTGGAAATTTTGAGCCATGGCCTATGTAATGGAGATGAACAAAGTCAGATATATTTGTAGTCTGGCCTGGATGACAACCATGACTCCCTTCATAGATACAGCGGAGTGGAGTGAGTAAGTGTAGCCACCCAGGGACAGGGAATGTGATTACCAAGTGAAAATAAAGTAAAAAAGTCTAAAAAAAAATGCAGGTACCTAAATCTAAGAACTGGTAAGTTCATTACATAAAATTTTGTGTTCGGGTTTAAGCTGGCCATACACCTTACAATTATCTGCAGATTTTCTGTGTTTGGATGGAAAAGGTGCAACAGATTCCTCCATCTACACTTAACTGTGTGGATGGAGTAATTTCCACCTGGGCCAATCTGTGGCACTTTTTCCATCTGACCACAGAAAATCTGCAGATAATTGTAAGGTGTTGGGCCACCTGAAGATGTGCTTTAAAGATCTTACTACAAAACTTTTCAGTCTTTGAATGAAAACTCCCAGTAAAAAAAAAGGTGAATACTTATTTTAAAAGCAGTGAGTAAAGAAATAAAATTACTGTAAACAGAATCTCCTTGCAGCCTTTTAACAGCTATAGCTACCTTACAAAACAATGTTTGTTATTTTATCACACGGAAATGTTTTGCATTAAAATGTTTACTTCACAAAAATAATTTTTCTTAAAGGAGAACGTGCTTTTCACTCACCTCATAGTTCTAGCCGACCTGTGACAATGAGACTGTCACAGGTCGGCTCAGTAGATCGGGAAGTGAGCGAACACATACCGGAGTTCGCTCACCTCTCGATCCTGTCACAGCTCTCTGCCGTGACAGGGGAGGGGCTGGATTCCCCCCTCCGCGCTCCGACCTGCCAGGGCTGACGGGCGGAAAGGACGGGGGAGGGGCAGGTACAGCTGGCTCTGCCTCTAGACATAATTGTCGGGATCTGCTTCAGCTGCGGCGTCTCAGTATACCGCTAGCTGTAGCTCGCGGTCTACTGAGCTTAGGGTGACGGGAGGACGCTAATTTGTGTGCTCCCGTTGCCCTAAGGAGAACTATGGGGAAAAGCCCTAACCCCATAGTTCTCCTTTAACGATATGACCATTTAACTATCGAACGCTATCAATTCCTTAGAAATGCTATTTTGCCTTCTGAAGATTTATTTCATCTGTATTGAATATGACCCCTTTTTCTTTGCCTCTTTTTTATACTTTTATCACCAACCAGAAAATAGCAGTATTCTTAGGAGTGGAAACCCATGCAATAGTCTTTTTTAAATAGACTTTTACAAAAAAAACAATACAACAATGAGAATACAACATTTTTGTCCAGCCCACAAACAAGGAGCAATACCCAGCCTCATGTAAACTTCCTATGGAATTCAATGTTTTCTCATCAAGAGAAATGGTTGCCCACTATGCAGCTGTATGATAAGTCACAGATTCTTTGCCTATAAGTATTATTGTAGTATTATCCGTTGTTTGTCTGGTCAGGATGAAGAAGAGTGTATAGTACCCTGCCTCATAATCTCATAGCCAACAGTTCAGCAAAAATCGGAAATGACTAAGGAATAGGCTGACATTGTACTCACTGCCATTCATCCTTACCAGGCTCTGCAATAATCTGCACTGATTGCCCTTCAAGGATCTTTTCATAAAAAAAAAAAAAAAATCAACCAATTAAGGAGCAAGAAATGTTGCTACTGAATTAAGAAGAGAACTATGGCCAAACCTTTTTTGGCCATAGTTCTCTTTTGGGTCACACGAGGACTTTCTCTAATGTCCTCCTGCGACCCAAAAACTCAGCAAATAGCAGGCTATTGCCTGCTATATGCAGAGTCACGCTGCAGCCAGGAAAGATTCTGACAATATTGTCAGGATTCACTCTGCTACCTGATTGACAACTGCCTCTCTAGAGCCAGCTGTGCCCACTCTCTCCCCATCCGTCCCTCCAATCAGCGCTGTAGGAATGGAGAGGGGAATCCCTGCAGGGAGCAGTGACAGTCATTGCTCTCTGCATGGAGAAAATCATGACCTGAGCGATCAGAGGTTTGTGATTGCTCAGTTCTCGATCTAGAGTCGGCATGTGACAGCTGCAGTGTCACACGTCGGCTCTCACTATGGGGATGAGTGTATTTCACAGTTCTCTTCATTTTCTTCTTCTTTGAGGACGGTATAGCTCCTTGTAATGCTGCAACACAAAGGTTTATATTATTCATTTACTGAATCAGTGACTCAGCACAAAAAGATTAAGATTGTGCAATTGCTATTTTAGCTACTTCCCATGCACTCAGTTCCTTTTGGACAGATGGGATAAGTCTGCAAACATCTATTTACAAATATTAAAGCGATATTAAATATAAACCGCCAACACAAAATAAAATAGTTGGGCCCCCCACGAGGTGTTTACCATAATGTAGTAGTAAGCACAGCATATTAGCACATTATGGCAGACTGGCCTTGCAGGTGATCCTCTCCAGTGATGTCAGCGCTCCTATCCATCACCGGTGCTTCCATCTTCTCCCTTTTTTCTTCCAGGTTCAGCATCTTTGTCTTCTTGATTGGGATAATAAAAATCCCACGCATGCACACAGGAGTTACTTCAGCTGGGCACAGGACCTTGCCGAACTTGTGCACTGAGTGTTTGGCTCAATGCACACAAGCTGCTGACAAGCAGGAAGAAGGAATTATGACACAAGAGACATACCGAGTCTCTTCTGTCATGCAAACCCTACTGGTCAGCGTATTTTCTCTTTATGACTTTCCTTCTGCCTTGAAGCTTTTATTCATACTTGTTTTCTTTTATTTTCAGTTGGCCAATAAAGTCGAAAACTACATCATGTCTTTTGAAACACAACAATCGACATCCAATGCATCTGTTGTACTTTACCTGAGGAAGGTAAAGCTGATTTTAATACCCATTTGTGAAATATGCATATTTGTTAATGACATCACATTTTGTTGTCTCTTGCTTTATTCCAGGTTCCTCACAATGAAACTCTTACCATCGGTTTTAGGATTCATAAAACCACAGATGTGGGACTTCTACAGCCAGCTGACATTTCCATATATGAGTATTATGACCTTGGTAAAAATATATATTTATTCTGATGTTTTGTTAATGTCTACATGTTTTTCATATTTTATTGTTGTAATGGGTTTAGGGTTGGGAATTTGGTTTGGATTTACTTGATATTGGTAACAAAAGAGGCCTTTTATTCAGGACTCTGCATTTGCTTTAAATGGTTTCTTTCTATACTTAAAAAATAAAGTTCCACCCCAATTTTTTTTTATATGTCAATGGGTAAGAATTAGAAACCCTGTCATGTTTTTCTTACTGCCCATGACCCTACTGCGGTGTTTTACATCATTTTCTGTCCCAATAACACAATTTCTGGGCGGTAGATGCCACCCTCTAAATTCCCACAATACATTTTATTGGTCACCCCATATGAACTTCTCTCACTGACAAGTTTCACACTAACCATCTTATTTGTAGGAGGAAGAGGAGACTAACTTTTATGTTAATAAGTTAAAAGTTCCCTTTCCTTGTTTTCTTTCCCCCCTTCTCTATTTCCTGACCTTTACACTGTATCCTCTTCCCTTCCTCTATGTGTCTACTTTTTCCTCTATATACATATATGGATTTAAATATATGCTATCTGAAATATGCATGTATATTTATTACAAGATTTAGTATTTCATAAATCTATGGCATCTTAAAACCAGGAGTGAAAGAAAATTGAATGATATAATACTGGGTCTTATACTCTATGTGCCTCTTTGCTACTACATAGTAATTAAGAGATTTGATTATTTAAGAATTTAATATTAATATTTTTAATAAAGCATCAGTTATTTTATGTACACTGAGTGGCCAAATTATTATGACCACCCCATCAGTACTTCGTTGGGCCACCTTTTGCCTTCAATACTGCGGCGGTTCTTCTTGGCATTGACTCCACCAGATGTTGAAAGGTAATGCGAGGAATCTGAAACCATGCCTGATGAATAGCACTGTCCAGTTCTGTGAGATTTCATGGTTGTGGAACCAGCTGCCTGATGGCTCTTTCAACTTCGTCCCACAAATGCTCAATTGGATTGAGATCTGGTGATTGTGGGGGCCATCTAAGCAAGGCAAAATCTCCCTCATGTTCTTGAAACCACTACTGCACAATACGAGCACCGTGGCATGGCGCATTGTCTTGTTGGAAGAAGCCATCTCCATTGGGATACACCATCAACATGATAGGATGAACTTGATCAGCACCGATACTTTGGTATGTTGTGCTATTCAGACGTTGTTCCACACGAATTAAAGGGCCCAAATCATGCCAGGAAAACATGCCCCAAACCATAACACTGCCCCCATCAGCTTGAAGGGTTGTACTCATGCATGTGGGGTGCATGCTTTCATGCTGTTTCCGCCAAATTCTCACTCTGCCATCTGCATGATGCAACTGGAAGCGTGATTCATCGGACCACATGACTTTTTTCCAATGCTCGACTGTCCAATCCTTGTGTTCCTGTGCGAATTGGAGACGTTTTATCTTGTTAACTGCAGACAGCAAAGGTGTTCGAACAGGCCTTCAGCTTCCATATCCCATACGATGCAGTGTACAGCGAACAGCGCGTGTCAGATTCCTCACATCACCTTTCAACATCTCCTGGAGTCACGAGGCGGCCCAACAAAGTCATCTCGTGGAGTTATCTCGTGGCCCAACGAAGTACTGATGGGGTGGTCATAATAATCTGGCCACTCAGTATATACCATTTTTGCTTAGCTCTAATTGATCTGCTGTTGGAAGTTTACTTGTTCAGTTTGCAGTATAAGTACACTTTCAGTCATGAATTCCAGAATTATGTGCAGTAATTGAAGATATTAAAGACACACTCTGGACTTCACCAATACAGGGCAAACTTACTGCAAAAGACATCCCCACAAAGACAAATCTTTATTCTCATCTTATGCTGGGCACACACCTTACAACCATCGCAAGACTTTTGTCTTGCGATGGTTGTAAGGTAATTAAAAAAACGTAAGAACTGCCTATCTTGGACAGGCAGATGAGGGGCGGGCTTCCCTGAGGGGCGGGCTTCCGATGACCGCAATGCCGAACGAGCAGTGTGCGCTTGCGCATACCGGCCCATTTACCCTGGTTGTGGGGGGGGGGGCTTCCTGGACCCTGGTTGTGGGGGGGTCTGCCGTGGCCGCAGGTGCAGTGGCTCCTTCCCTCATGCACATGCACCCGACTGGCCAGCTCGCCCGCAACGGACGCGGCTCTGTCATCGGTCGACCGCTCGCTCCTCCGAGGACCCAGCGAGCAGCCCTCTACAGTGCCTGATTGGAGGGCCGCCCCTGCCTGGCTGGATCAGGCAGACGCGCCAACCACCTAACCCCTCCCCCCCAGTGAAAGTACATCCCTCCTGGTCTCCTCACCCCCAGTGACAGTACATCTCAGCCCTGGGTTTGGTTGTTACGCCACTGGTAAGGTGTGTGGGCACCCTTACCTGTGCTCCCTCATAGCTCCTTGCTCCTCTGCAGCTGGCAGTAAAATCAGCAATCTAGGGGGGAGCGTTGATATCGCTCTCCTGTTCATGTGGCAGTGCTCAGGCCTAGCGATTGACTGGAAGGCCTCATTCACACACAACGCAATTGTATATTGCGTATATAGGCGCATATACGTGCGTATGTTCTTATATGCATGCACTATATGCAATCCCAGAATGCATAATTCGTAATAGAAATTTGAATGAACTGTACACGTTTAAGTGCATATACGCGCGCAAACACGCATATACGCGTAAAATACACAGAAATACGCTGCCCGGACGCATCCTGGTTCCATTCTGTTTTTGCGCATTTTTACGCTATGCAAATATACGGCTTCATACGCAGCTATGTGTATGGAGCCATTTGTTTGCATATGCTGCATATGGGACGATACGCACTTACGTGCGGCAGTGTGAATGAGGCCTTAGGACCAAGGACTATCGCAGGGGAGCAGTAAAACATGACACAGGTTCAAAGTACAATGTTTCATGGATGATAATCCCCTTTACTCAATCAGAAGGTGGTTTCTGCTTCAGAAAGGGGGATCATCACCCTTGAAACATTGTACTTTGGACCTGGTAAGTTGTAAAATTTCAGTATAAGAGCGCCACCTGGAAATTTGCTCACTGGTTTTTGAGCCGTTATGAATGCTGATTGTAATAGTGACATTGAATGGCTAAAAAAATTAATGAATGAGCAAATTTGCCATCTAAGCTTTATAATTAGAACCCTTAATCGAGAGTGTAATCCTAGCCTAAAGAGAATCAGACCTCAGGTGTCTCCTTTGTCTCAAGTCTACTGGTAATCACCAGCACTGGTTCAGCCATGACAAATGTTTTGCACATTTAAATGAACATTTGCTTTATAGATGGTGTTATAATAAATGCAAATTTCTTTTTTGTTAATTACACGTTTCTGACAATAAATAAAAAAATAACTCATTCCATTTGTCTTTCTTCTTATTGTGCCCCTTTATGTTGCGCAGACAAACAATGCAGCACGTTCTATAATCTACCTAATGAGGATGGGCAGTTAAGGAAAATATGCAAAGGATCTGCTTGCAAGTGCGCTACAGGTAGGTAGAAGAGAAAACCAGCCTTTGTAATCTTGAAATTGAATAATAAGGTAACAAAAGTATTCAAAAACATTCAATAAAAACTATTTCTGGGCTATCGGGGGCATATAGCAACAATATTCTTTGCTCCACCCACTGTTCTTAAATGAGGCATTGGTTTCTTCTGTTTCAGATTTGTAAGTGAGAAAAGCCATGATGCACCTTGTCAGTATTTTATTGAAGAGCTTTTTAATTCCCATTTAGTTCATCTCACTTAATAGGAACAAGTCCACAAAATAAAATAAAAAAGCTAGATTTGGGCTTTAAATACCATTTAGACTACCTTCATGCAGGGACACCATATAATAAGCAGGGTGTAGCTTGCAAGTAACTGTGGAATTGAAACAACTGGCCTATCACTGCCATAGCATCACTGTCCTTTTGTCAGGAACAGATTCAGACACTTTAGTCAGAGTGTATAGTGGTGAGTTGCTTCACCTCTAGCAGCCACATTTCACTTAAGGCTAGCGCTCCTACCGGTACTTGGATGCCCCCAAGGCTGGCCTTTGGGGTGTTCGAGCTGTGCGGCCGCACAGGGCGCCGGGCGGTCGACACAGCTTGTCCTCGGGGGAGCTACAGCCTGCGGCTTCTCTCCTCCTCACCGCTCGGCCATCCGACATGGCAGCTCTCCCTCCTCAGCGTCGGAGCCGCTGTCATCCTGTTAGTTTCAGGATGACAGCGGCTCTGTGCGTGGCCGAGCGGAGGATCGGTAAATAACAGTGACATTTACCGATCCTCTGTGTGTGCAGACCAAACACTGGAGTGATCGCCTGATCACTCCAGTGTTTGTAAATGACTGGGGACACATAGTACTATGTGTCCCCAGTTATGAATAAACAGGATGTGATTTACATCACTTCCTGTTCATTCATGAATTTCTGAATGGGGAGTAGCCCTTACTATAGAGGCTTTTCCCCATTCATAAACTGGTGATAGTAAATATTCTATTAAATATTCTATTATAGTATTATAGTAATATTATATTAATAGCCATTTAATAGCCCATCACTATTGTTTTAACACTGCTGTTCAGTTGTTTTTTGCACTATAACACTTTATAATTATATTACTAGTTGTGATTTTGATTACACTTGATTTAAAGATTTTTACTTAACTATCACCTTTTAGCGCTGCACATTTAGCACTTTATCAATTTTGACCCTAGGGTTCATAGCGCAGCAGCTTTTATACTGTACCTACCCACAAGCGCAGATTTTACAATTTTCTAGTAAATATTCTACTATCATCAGTTTCTGAATGAATGGGAAGCCTCTGTACTGAGTGCTTCCCATTCATTTAGAACAGAAGATGCTGAAAAAGAGATTGAGAACTTTGTGTCCTCAATTTCTTTTTCTATTTTAAAAGGTAAATGCCAGGGGTCTGTTTAGACCCATCATATTTCCCCAAAGCCCCCCAACAGTAAAAAATAAAATAAAACATTATTTAAAAAAAAGTGAAAAATACCCCCCCAAACACGTATTATTAGACATGTGCAAAAACTAAAAATTCATTTCAGATGAAATAAAAACTAAAAACGGTTTCATTCGTTTCATCAAACATGGAGGCAGGGCGCATGACGTCATATAACATTGCACGTGTTGGGCGCCGCCATCTTGGTGTATATAGGCCTATATCGGCGTGTGACGTCATCCGACACCACGCATGCATGGCGTCATGTGACGTCATGCTCCCCGCCTCCAAGATGGTGGCACGCATTCGCAGAACGCGCCGGTGGCCAACATGGCCGTCGCACATTCTGAAACAAATTATTATGTGCCTGAATACATTTTTCCTATAGTCGGTCAAATAGTAATTCATTATTTTAACATGAAGTCTGGGTTTTGTGTTCTGTTTTTTATTTTTACTTTTCTAGATACACTTACTTGAAAAAAGGGATCGGCATGACCTCCTGACACTTTATTTTTATAGACTCTATTTTAGTTTGACATTTATTGTTTATCACTTGTTTGCCTTCTGTTGTTTTATTTAATAAGAATACTTATATTGTGCCTACAAGTTTAATACCTTTGAATAAAAGTTTTATTTTTATCATACTTTTACATATGTTTTATTGAAGATTAACAAAATGGGAGTCTTCATTGATAAAAATGGGTGTGGTCACTGAGGGGCGCTGTAAAGCTTTCTCGCACAGGGAGCCTAAAGGCCTAAGACAGGCCCTCGATACCCCAAGGACTTAACTTATACACTCTGGATTTAGTTGCAGTGCCTGCTACTGAAGCTAGAACTGGCACTCCATGGAGAAGAACTTGTATTCCTGTATTGGATATACAATCCCATCTAGTTTTGAGGCCTTACTAGAAGTGACTTTGTTCTGACTTTATAAACAAGATCAGAGGACTCGGCAAAACTTCAATTCTCCTGGCTGCATAGAAATACACTTAAAGTTACAACTGTCTTTGTAATAAAAAATACAAATTGCACTGTGCATAAATGTAGCATACAAGTACTTATAAACCTTGATACTAAAATAAAACAGTAATCATAAAAACAACAGCCCAAATAAATATCAAGATAAAGGAGTTCTTTTTTTTTTTTTTTAATTAACCTTATTGGCTCATGTTGCTGCTATTATTTAGGCAACCTTCCTAAGGGCCATTAGTTTTGGTCCAGAAGCAACCACAAGCCTCCATCCCAATTACCAAGACCATTTTGGAACAGGCCAATTCCTGCAGGCGACTTCTTACTGATGCAGGCAAAGGCAGACCCTGAAATATCAGCAGGGAAGGATCCAGAGCAATGCTACTGCTTCCTGGGTAGCCCACCACATTGGCTGGCTGCTGCTACTGAGAACCGGCAAATGACAGAAAGAGCTGATAATTGTGTTTTAAGAAGGTGAGGACTGATGTAGCAGCCTGTCACTATGTAGAGAAGCCCAGCCTAAAAGTAGAGTGTCCCAGTTTTTAAAGAAATCAGAGTATAAGTTTGATAAGGTGGCTGCAGGCTATACATCTGAGGCTAGCAGGGGATCTTCTTAAAATAGGGCATGAAGGTGATTACTTACCTAACATTCCCTGAGGCTAACATGCCTAAGAGTTGAATAACTTGCTCCATATATTACGTTTTATTTTCCTTAACCACCTTGCATGCACAAGCAAAACATACATAGGTTTTATTTGTATGGGATAAATATATTTGTATGATATTTTTAATACAAGTAATGGTATGTAATTTTATCTTGTAAATGTTTTCCTGTAACAAGGCAAACCTGTACTTTACAGATTCAAGCAATGAGTCCATCATATTCATAACACCTTCACTTTCATAACCTCCAAAACTGATCTCAAATTGTTCTGTTAAATTAATTTGTTTATTTTGACACATTTTAAACTGTGTATATTTTACAATTAGGTGCTTGCGTATCTTTGATCAAAGTGACTGATGCTGGAGATTTAGAAAAAAAAGCATGCTCAGAGGGAATAGACTTTGGTATGTCTTTACATATATGCATAGTGAGTTTTAAAATGTGTAGTTACAGAACAGGATAGGAATGTATATAAAGTGAAACGTATTAGAAATAAACTTACATTTTTGTACAGGCAGTCCCAGAGTTACGAACATTCAACTTACATACGACTCGCACTTACAAACTGAGGCTACCCTGTTTACCCGAAAATAGGACCTACCCCGAAATTAAGACCTAGTACCATTTTTTGGAATTGCTAAAATATAAGACCTACCCAAAAATAAGACCCAGTTGTGACCATTCCCAGGGCTGGTGGTGGCATAAGGGGGAACTTGAAGAGCCGCGGGAGAGAATCAGCGGTGCCAACGAAGCCAGCGCTGGAGGAAGCGAGGCTGCAGCACAGGGAGCAGAGCCGCATAAGCTGATACCTCCTCTCACAGTCGGAGTGATACCAAATGCACTCCGCCTGTGAGGAATCCAGTGAAAGTGCGCTTCGCTCATTCTGGCCAGCGATTGGTTACCAAATTGCTCTTGGAAAGGTACGGCACCCCTGATTGCCCTGATCACCCTATTCTTAACTTTGCCATTTTGGATTATTTTATTTGGATTTGCATTAACTTTGGATTGTTGTACATTAAAAAAAAATTAAGACCTTCCCCGAAAATAAGACCAGTGTCTTATTTTTCGGGGAAACACGGTATTACTGTACAGCAGTGGGTCCCAGTTGCAGCCAAAGTGTACCGCAGATCGTTCCAGTAGTTGTAATGCTACCGCATTACGGGTCTGGTTCGTAGTATGTACGTACATTACAGGAAGTTGGCTCTTGTTAGACGTGCAGACGAGAGGTGCCCATCTAATCTTCTGGGTCTGGTACTGTACATTACAGGAAGTTGTACAAACATCTGTCCAAGTTGCATTTAAAGTAGAACTCCATGCAAATTGTATTTATTTTAGTTTTGGTTAGTATGGTGTGAGGTCAGAGCCACTGTTAGGTTTTTTTTTTTACTGCTGTCTGGGTCCTCATTAGAAAGATTTAATCTCATTTCCTGTCCTTGAGACAACAGGAAGTGAGAGGAAATCTACCCCTAGGAAGGGATATTCACTCCTGTAAGAGTCATCATGGGGAAAAAGGTGTCTCCACTGAAGCTTTATCACCAATTCTTTTTTCCACAACAACCCAAAATTTTCAAAATCCAATTATCACAAGGACAGAAAGTCAGGTGAAATCTTCTGAACAGGGGCGCGCACACACACAGCAAAACAATTGTTACAGGGGTTAGCCCTTCCCTATCCTATCCAAAACAAAAAACATTTTTTTGGCTGGAGTTACACTTAAAAAATGTACCTGCTCCAACTTACATGCAAATTCAACTGGACAATAAAGCTACAGAACCTATTTTGTTCATAACCCAGGGACTGCCTGTAATTGGGATTACCCGCAGGATAGAAGATATTTGTAAATGTGCATGTGGTTTGAAAGTTTACCTACTTAAATATTCAGATAATAACAGTCAGGGCCAATTGACATACAGTATATTCCTTGTGGCAACACACGTTATACGCATGGACACATTGCAATGCCGTTCAGTTTGACTGTCACATTGTGGCAAAAATGTTGACACATGTCCAACAATAGGGATGTTATTGTGTGTCAGAAGCCAAAATGATTTTAATGCATTGCCTTAAGTGAATGCATGTACTGTAAAAGTGACACAAA